GATATAGAAAACAATTCACTAAATTAGAGATTTTCGTCTTAGAAAAATAATTAAAAAATAATAATAATCACGTAAATAAATTAAATAAAATTTTGATTTTATTTTTATAAATTCTAAAATATTCAAAATTATATTTTTACTGTTATTTAATTAATCTAACTTTTAATTACTTTTATACAAATATTTTCTTATACAAAATTGAGTATTTTAATATAAAAGTAAAATTTTTTTAAATTACTTAATAAAATTTAAATTATTATAGAAAATGTTTTAAAAACAAACTAAAATATAAATACAAGAAAGCTGAAAAGGTATTGTTATTGATGATTCATGAGTATGTTAGAAAAAAATAGTAAATAAATAAAAATAAAAGTAAAAATATCGACTTCAAGAAAATAAAAAAGAGAAGTTATATAAACGGAAAATTGAAGTATAAAATATATTTAATGAATGTAAACGCTTATAAAAAAAATAATAAAATACATCTGAAATATGATGTATCTCTATCAATGACATAACACGAAAACAAAAGGAAATATTTCTTATAATAATATTTAAAATATAATAATAATAATTTCTGTTATATTTATGAAAATTTATATTTAAATTTTAAAAATAATTCAAATCGAACTAATAATAATTTTAGATTTTTTTTTTAAAGAAAACTTTTAAAGACATGAAAAGTTAGAAATGTCTGAGAGAATAAAATTACTTAAAACTTGTAGAAGGTGCTTTTAAAAGTTAGAAAGGAAAAAGAATTAAAGAAATGACACTATTTTCCAATAGAATTTGGGGAAATGGAGTAAAGAATGAAATAAAAGTATAAAAACAATACACAGGAAACAAATAATGTTGGCTTAGAAGATTACCAAAATAACAAAAAGATATTCAGCAGCAACTAATAAAAGTTATTTTTCGAATTTTAATGAAATAATTACATGCAAAACAGAAAGTCAATTTTACAAAGTAGAAGAAGCTTTAAACTGAAAACAACTTGTTCGAATTATCTAATATTCATTGTACACAATACAAAATCTGTGAATCAACTCATTATTACTAGCTAATTTACAGAATTTTATCACGGTTTTTCTCTTTAGCGATAAAATTTCTAAACAGGAGAGAGAGAACGAATCCACTTGCTATGTTAGTAATTAAGTTAATCTCATAAAAATTACATAAAATGAAGCGTCAATAAAAATGAATCAATAGTTTAATTAAATAAACTTAAATTTAAATATAATTGCACTAATGGAATGACATAAAGAAATT